AATGATTTAGAATAATTAAGTTTATATTAGTCCTCCCTCTCACATACTGGCTGATTTTTTAGCAATTTTTACCTTGCAAGAGCAGTCACGTATTTGTTCTGCTGTGCTCTGCCCAGTTTTCCTTTTCCGTCATGTTTCTGGCTACAATCCACATCTTATCAAACTACGTAGTATGTGTTCAATTCATTTTACGGACGACACTTGCAAAACCAATCATGATTGTCCTACAACTTGTGATGACGCATCTCGTTCCATCTCCTTCTTATAGGTTATACCAGTCAGGCTGTTTATGATTTCCACCTCACAGTAGGGTGTACTAATTCATTTTATGCTATACTTCATCGTATTTGTGTTTCTTTCTGTTGATAGAATATGAGGCTAAAATACCAACGTAAAGGTATTTGTTTGACGCATCGTCCAAGAAGGAAATGGCATTTATTCATCTTCTAACTTGAGTTAAGAATTTCGATATTCCTAACAAAGTATGCTTTGATGTGTACATTAAAAGACTGGTCTGTTAAGGTGATCGTCTGTTACGCTCTCTAATTTTCGGTCGTTTTAGGCGATGTGAATTAACCTTTAAGCACTTTATGTTAAGGAAGCTCCACTTGGGAACGTAGTCAGGTAAAGCTTTAGAAAAGTTTTTTCAGTCACCGAAATTTATCTGTATGAACTACCAGAAATGTTAAAAATCTCTAATATCCTTCATGAAAAAAGGCCTCTAAGTTTCAAATTTAGGCATTTGAAGAGTTAAAATCATAAGCAGCAGCTAAAAGTTATCTCAAAAAACCTGTAGCTAACCATTCAAGCAACTAAAATCCATGATATCTTCGAAGAAGAGAAGTCTTAGAAGACTTAGCTTAAGGAGCCGAAATTGGCTTATAAAAGAAACATTGAGGTCACAAGATGAGGAAAGCGATTCTGCTGGTAGTATATAGTTAGGTTGAATACGGTGGTTGGGGGCTTCAGCGACTGGAAGAAAGTCTCATGAACCAAAAGTCAACATATCAAAGTAATTGTTTCGGAAATTGAAATAAAGTTTATGATTATACGAGATTACTCATGTGCAAAACAAATGTATCATGATGACTATAAATCAGGCGTTTTGACAGTGATTGCCCATCCGTTGGGAAGTTCGTAACAGTAAAGCCACAAATTTCAAACGGAAACGATAGAACATTAATCTTCGTGTATCTGAATGTGTATAGGATTCGCCATTCTACTTTCCTTCATGTAATTATTTACCTTCCAGATTTTTCTTGTAGACACCTTGGGCAATCAATTCACTCTAGATGCATATTAGTTAAGAATTATTTTCAATTGACAGAAGACGATTACTTCAACTGCAATTCGGATTCAAGGACAAAGAAGTGGCGGATGGAATGATAGAACATAATTGGATGGTAACAAAACTGAAGGGTGGGCTAAAAGAGTATGTAATGTGGGAGGTGAATAATAATAAATCAGCTGTTAGACTTTGTCGCAGGGTTCCTCAGGACCCGAAGGTGTTTCGCTGTGTTGTTGTATTTTGGTTCGGGAGAACTTCTCAATCACAACCTCATCTGGCCCGCCAACCATGCTCTGCTCCACCTCCTTGCGCGGGTGCGTCAAAATGAAGGGAATGTCCATTTCAGTATCTCGACCCCCGAAGCCAGTGACGATCTTCAAGCGGATCTATGTAAATTTGACATTGCCAGTTAAAGCAAGATTTCAAATTCAAAAGAATTGACTAACAAATAAGGGTCAAATGCCTGAGCAAGTGGAGATTTCATGGCATGACTATCCATTAAGGCATTTCAGATTCAACACCATCTCACCCTATAAAGACCCAATTGCATCTAAACATGTAGTATTCTAAAATATATGTAGAATGGACTCAGTACAAAGAGGTTAACTAATTCATTCTGATGTTACGCATTCCAACTAACGACGCCTTCTCCTGCATACTCCATCGTTTAGGCTTGCTTACTTCTAAATTGAGGAAATTTCATAAAGGTGGATTTTACTGAGCATTTTAATATATTAGCACTAATTTATCCTAAGTTTCCTGAAACCATGAAAAGTGGATAGTACAGGGTCACATTTTTCAGAATGTTTAGATATATAGCTTTGTTCCTTTGCCAATAATGTCAAAATAAAGGAAGACAAATGCTCTTAATCAAACCCTAATTACATTAAGCAAGCTTGACGCGACGCAACGCAAAATTATGATGCATTTAGTTGTGGCTGAAGTTTCCATATATTTAACTTCTAGATGTTATGGTATTAGTGGGATAGTAACCGAGCCAAATCAATACCAAAGGATAATAGCAAAACCTAGTATAGGATATGAAATTCTAAAGAGCATCTACTTGTGCTCTACACCTGTTTCTTTCAAATGCAAGGTAAACATTTCGGTGACATACAAATACAATCTATGAGTATACATATTGACTCCTCATTATTTAAGAACTGATTACTTGGTAGCCGGAGGTTGGAATTCTGTTGCGATATTTGATGTTCATCATCTGCACGAATTCCCACATAACGTGACTATTTCCATTAGGAATGGTGAATTTCACGAGCCCGTATGTAACCCAAGGACTAAAGCCGAGATTTTGTCTTGTTGCAATCGAAACTAAAAAATGCATCTACGGACAATATGTTTCTATTCTTATAATAACATGTTTAAGTTGTGGTGATTAGAGCAAAGGAGGAAATGCTTTACTTTGAGCCATCTCATATTGTGTATGGAAATCTCTCCTTAGGTTGAATCTTTAACATTCTATTTTATTTTAATTGTTTAGCCTAGTTACAGTTCCTATAACCTATATTTCGGTAGAAAGGAATGCTCAAATGGTAATTGACTATTCAATTTTACATAAAATATATTCACCTTATTTCGTTTAGAGTGTAAGGTTGTTAACTGTGTGATGAACAATGGTATTACGTGATTTTGTGACGTATCAAGGCTAATTCATCCAATATGCACAGATGAGATGAAAATTGGTAATTCTATAGTTTTGCCGAAATATTCTATTATAGTGAGATTATACAAAAATGAACAAGCTGTGTGAAACGGTTTATTCCTTAAATGTTTACTTTAGAAATTGCAAGCTAGGGCACAAATTTTTCTAGATTCTTATCCCTTCCTGTCTTAAGTCATTTAAAGGACTATATAGCTTGTGAGAACAAGTTCGTCCTACTTCTTTCTTAGGTTCCGAAAAAAATGTCTTTTTGACTTTAATGTTTCAATCGAATGAGAAAAACTCGATGTCAATGAGTATGTGTCTATAAAAAGTTTGTTTAAGTAAATAAATATTTCAGCTTTTCATCTTTCCTATTCTTTATGCGCTAAATTGTTGTTCTCTTATCCTACTTATACCAACCAATTCGTGTAATGTCATTTATTCATAAAATTATTTCTCCTAAATGTTAGGGAAGCATTAATTCTATTTCTCTGTCAAAAATAGTAAAGAAAAAAGATAAATTTTACCCCAAATCAAAAAAATATAGCAAATAATCAAATAATAAGCCTAATTCATATTCTCTACCAGTGTCAAGAAAAATATATATCGGAAAAACTTGGGCAGGCACGAAATTCCTAAAAGAGGTCGGGCCTGTTTGAAGGCAAAAAAGGACTTGTCAACCCTACTAGACTAGAGTTTCAACCCCGCCTAGGCCTCATCCAAAATCCCCAACAATATTCGAATGCAAATCGAACTTATCGAGGAGACAAGCTTCCAGTCTGAAGCATATCCATGGGCGCTAGTAGGTCACATAGAAAATATGATCATCAAGACAAATCTACCAAATAACATTTACTATGTGGATTATGCAAGCTTGAATCTTTCAGTACAGTTTACAATGGTACTTATCTTCGATAAGAGCATTGTTCGGGGCTACAAATAATTGTTGAATAAAAGTTTAATCAGCTATGGTTGCCTACTTCTTGGTAAAACAATACGAAGCATCAGAGACAAACAATTAAAAGTAGTGCAGCCTGAATACTTAAACTATTAAACTTGTTAGAGTATACTACTTGAATGTAGTAAAGGAGAGATTAGTTATAGAGTACTTGCCGCCTACCAGGTACTGCACAATGATACCCAATAAATCCCTTTTGCGATAGTCCTTGATAAGTGTTGAGGTGGCCAAATTGGTGTCCTGGTGTTTCATTTTTCCATCCAAAGCAAGGCCTGGTTGGTGACGGTTGTCAAAAAGCAGAGGGCGAAGTTTGTAAGTTTGCGTCCAACCCATGGTACCCGCTTCGATGGGAAATCCTTCCTCGCTTTCTAGACTAAATACCACGGTCTTGAATTGCTGTTGGCGAAACAATGTGATATCAGTCAGTTGAATTACCTGAAATTTAGATTTGGGCGAAAGATTCATTGATAGAATACCATGACAGAATTAAGCATACAGATACACAATTCGGGCCAATTTGTTAAACCACTTAAGAGTAGGCTGGATAATAAATCTTTAGGATAGTGGTTGCTTGGAATAAAGATGTAAATAATGACAAAACTAGTAGCAGAATTAAATCTATTTCTTACAATAAGAAGTCTATAGAAGTAAAACAATAAAGTCTACTGGTAAATAGGGCTAATGCTAATAAATCAAGCGTGAAGTGTTGCCGAAGGCTCGATCCATTCTAACTGTATTTTTATTCTGGCATCCTCAAATCTCTCAGCTTAATGAATATTTTAGAGAATTATAGTAGAAATGACTATTATAGTTATCTATGCCCATTAAGAATAACAAAAACTAGTGATAGTGTGCAATGTGAGAAATTAATTTACCATTATCCATGCGCTCATTTTCCTAATTTAATGTATCTCCAAACATTTCATTGTAAAGTTTATCATGATCTCAGTTCATATTGTCCTTTTTATCAGCAATTTACCAAAAAATTATTCGTTCAATTTTATTATCCTTCAACTTCGAAAAACCCTTCTAATAATGGTGAGCAT